TGCCCAACTTTGAGCACTTGAGCCCGGCGTTGCATGCGATCTAACACCCAATCACCAACATCAAAATTGCTAGATCTTGAAATAAACGTTTTCACAATCAATCACGCAAATTATAACCCCCTAGAACTCGTTTTACATATAGAAATTCACCAATTTGTTGTTTACAACTTTTATCCATTAAATTCAACAAATTTCTCCCCTTAGGGTTCTAATCTCTTTTTATAGAACACTCAATTAATTACTCTAAAAATATCGGATCATCAAATAAATTACATATTCAGAATCTACTCAATAAATCACATCAAACGCACATAACATCTTATAAAACAAAAAACTTATGGGATTGGGGTCAATCCCTCTTGCATACATTCAATCCCTAGAAATGAGTGTTCTCAATCCCCCTTTACCTAGAGTGATGCAACATATGAGTCTAATCTTCTTCCTCTTCTCCGGCGATTCCTTCATGCTCTTTAGATATGTTATCTTCAGAGCACCCGAGCGTCACAGAATGTGCAATGAAACAAAATAATAATATCCCCTTTCTCCCTTCTCTTCTAATATATAACTCATATTTCACTAAACCCTCTCTTATCTTCATTATTTATATTAATCATAAAATAAAATAAAATCACTATTACCTCCCTAATTAATAATTATTAATTATTAAAAAAATCTTAGGATGTTACAAAATTTGACCTCTACCTAGAGAAACCATCTAAACATCCAAAAACTTTTAAAGAGTTCCTTGATTTCTAGAGTTATCAACAACTAATCCAAAAACAACACACACCATATAATTAGCACAATTCACAATTATTAATCAAATATAATAATTGACAAAATGTATAGTGCTACAACGAAACTTAATACAATTAATTTTATTATATCTAATTAGTTTCGATCAATGATTGTAGTGAGTTTTTTTTGTCATTTTACTATTTTTTTAATTACCATTAAATGATATATGAATAGAAATAAGTTCGTTAAATTATGTTAGGCTCCAAACAACTGTATAAAGTTCAGGTTTTGGTGGTCATTAATGGAAATAAATCATTTTTACTATTATAAAAATATTTATGGTATTTTTAACGATTTGAAAAAAATAAAAATAAATAAACATTAGACATTTTTGTTGCTGAAAATTAATAATTTTTTTAAGTATATTACACTAAGATTCCATGAAATTTCATAAAATTATATAAATACTTCATATTTTTTTATCCTTTCAATAATTTCTCTTAATTATTTAAAAGATATCACACTAGTATCTTTTGAACATTCTTTAATCTTATTTTAATTATTTAAAAAAATATTATATTATGACTCTCTATAAGAGAAATTATTGTAAACCTTAAAATGTGCGAGTTTTAGTGAAATTTAAAGAAATGTCAATGTAATTTATATATACATATATTATTTACGTTTCTTTCTATCGTATCATTATTATATTTATTAATAATTAAATTGTATTAGTTATTACACAATATTATATTAAATTTCCCTCAATTTATCTAATTTAATTATTAATTTATCAAAATTAATAAATAACATATAGATTTTAATATTTTATACTATCATCTAATTATTAAATATGTTAAATTTATTATTTTCTATAATAATTATTTTAAAAATTATAGTTACTATAACTTTTATTTATTATCAATATAATTTTCTTACACATATAAATATTAAATTCGTTAAATAAATAAATGTGGACATTATTTTATAATAATTTATGAAAAATAATCAAAAACATGACTTAATTGTAACCATGACTTTGTAAAGGTTATCCTTTTCTTTTTTTTTTCTTCTCCCAAACAGAAGACAAAAACAATATAATTAAGAAAAAGAGATACTTTGATGGTAAGTTAATAGTAGTAATATAATATATTAATAAAGTGACTCATTCATTTCTTTCATTTTTTTAACTTTCATAAAATACAACACAAAACTATCTTCTTTTTGGATCTACGAGTTTTTCAACACAATTTACTTATTAAAATATGAACTGTAAATATGCATTGTTTTTAAGCCAGCTTGAGACATCAATGTACCTTTTATCTCAAGAATTAATCTTCACAATTGTTGTTTTAACTTATATCATATCATTGGTAGTAATGCTTACATTATTTTGTTTTATTTTATAATTAGAACTAATCTTGAAATCTTTTAGACAAATAAAATATTGCATTAGTGATTTCATTTTGTGAAAACATTGTTGATGTTAGGAAAAAAAATTAAGCACAAAGACATGAATAAAGTGTGAATTCTTTAAAGTTATTGGTTCTTTCACTACAACACAAAACACAAAGAATTTTTAGTAACATTTAAAAAATGTTATTTAATTATGTATAAATATTTTTAATTTATTTTTGTAAATATTATGTATATAGTCCATGTTACTAAAAATGTTTAATAACATTTTTGTATAATTATTATTATATTTTTATGTATCCTAAACTCCTAAGAGTTCTTTAAGAGAAGGTTAAAGATGTTCTTAATTAGTCACCATTAATCAGGGAGGATCTAGGTTATGTATAGTGGGGACACTTGCCCCCACTACCATTTGATACACACATATTTGTTATTTAAAAAATAATATATTTTAAATAATAAAAATTATATTCTAATAAAAAGAAATATATATGTTTAAATTATAGGTTGTATAAAATATAAATTTTGAGGAGATATTCATTTATTTAATGTCTGTCAAATTTTTGAAAAAAATTAATTCTCTTATGTAATAAAGAATATTCTTCAATAACTAATAATTTTTTTTAAAAGTTTAATTATAATATATATATATATATA